ACATCATAAAATGGCTGAATGGAAGACAAACCCTGGGAACAACGAAGCTATTGCTGGCACATTTGTTATAATTTAAAATTCGGTTGATTTTTATTAAAAAATAATTACTGATGTTCATTTAACTTCAGCACATTGTAGTTGAAGTTGAGTTGGGAGAGAAAGTCATCGAGCGCTCAAAAGAAAGCCAGACAGAATTTATAAAACACGCCATCCAAAATGTAAGTAGCTACGGAATCTAACTTTTTTCTCTGTAATCACATTAATTTCGGGGTGTCTGACCCTCTCACCAGAGAGGCAAATAAATTTTTAAGTTTTATTAATCTTTTCTGGGACAATAAGCATCTCACTGTCGTCATTGCAGAAACTACGTCTTCCGAAGCTTTCCAAATCTCCCCATAGAGGGCGTTGTGGGGCTCACACTGTCTGAGCTAAGAAGCTTAACTGAGAACTAAGATATTTTTCATTTGTTTACTTATAGATTAAGGGGTCTGTGTCACCCTCTGGTTCTTTTGCTGGCTTCTCCGGGTCACTCACAGTTAACATGGACAAATTCCGAGAACAGATGACACAAGAGGATAAATTTGGAAAACACAAAATTGTTCTTACATCTGGAGGCATGGACATGCCTGAGCCAATCGGATTGAAGCTTGTTCCTGTGTACGAGGCCCTGAACAAAAACTTTTACCAGTTGTCGGGTGCAGGATCTGGGTCTCCATGCAAACATACGGAATCTCTTCTGAGATCTAGAAAGGATAATTTGGTTCAAATCCTGAAGGAATATCCACAGCTGAAGGGTACCAATGTACCAATTGGTAAATAAAAGTCTCTTAACCCTTTAACTGCCATAAATGACCAGGACATAGTTTCTCCTTACAATATCAATACAATAGCAAGCAGACAAGTGATGAGAATAAAAAAAAATTTTAATTAGGGGATTGTTAGTTGACACAATTCTCCAAACTTTACATAATAAGAATCCTTTGGCAGACAGTAAGGAGAATTACTAATGAGATCTTAGAAGTTAAAGGGTTAAATCGCAGGCCTAAAATCGTTGAGGAGTTTTCCTCTGTAAGGGTACTTTTTAAATTTTCCACGTGGACTCAATCTCGTAAATGATCATTGGCAATCTATGAAGTGGAGGCTCATACTCAAATTAATACCTCTTCGTCAAAAGGAGGGAAAACCTACTTCCGTTTCTTATTGTTCAATACGGTCATTGTCTCCAATTTTTTAAAGGTTGGATATAAATTGTTCAGTATTCGAAATTTAAAACGCTAAAAGGAACTAATTATGGTCTTGCGCTGAAAAGCGTGCCGGAAATGATGACATAATAGTAATGCGTTTGGACGCCTTCTGAAGTCATTTAAAATTTTTTTTATATACCCTTCTGATTTCTTTCTCGTCGTTCTTCCCTTCCCTTTCACTTCCTTTTCTTTTTCCTCCCTCTCATAGATCCACCTGTAGTTATACCGCTTACCTGGCCCCAGGGAACATATGGCCTTCCCATGACCACCCACGGCTGTCCTAAAGCAGCTGGTTTTACATGGCATCATGGGTATCGTTATCATGAAAACGAGATCGGTAACAGCTGGTCTTATCCCTACCACTTGGCGGGAAAAAAAAGTATTTGGACAAATCAACAGGCCTTTTGTATCAAAACCAAGGATCAAGGCACAAAATATGACCTTACTTGGTCACCAGGACAATATTGTCTCTTCAAGAAAGGAGACTGTCCCGAAGGTTTGTTTTCGTAAAGATAATAATAATGAGTCGAATAACGTCTATAATGCTTGGCCATTCTTGTAATTAAAAAAGCAGATATTCATACGACGTTGAATCTTTCTGAAGCAGAGACCTCTTGACAACGCGCCATTGCCATAAAGATAAAATAAAATTTTATCTATATCTGAGCCTGCTAAGAGAGATATGGGGTCGTGAAAGGGCGTATGATGATAGAACTCGTAGTCAGGTTTTCTACCCTTAGTCTTTTCCATAGCTATGAATCTAAAAAGTTGAGCTTATTAAAGAAAATAAGGTTTTGATAATGATTTCACCGCTAAACCAAATCTACAACAAGAGGGTTATCCTTCACTCATATCTCTTTTCAACTATAACATACTTTTCGCCTGTGCTCTGCTCCACTCACTTTTCTGTAACCCCCATTTTTCATTCATCTCCTAATTACGAAGATGATGAATTGCTGTTTTCGACAGGTTTCAAAACAGGTTTCATTCGCTGGGACGATGAAAATAGCGATAACAACAACAATTATAGGGGAGCTATGCCGGATGGAAAGTTTACCAAAAACACGCTAATTGAGTACTGCTGCCGCACGGATGGGCACGCCGAAAACGACATCATCCTGCCCACAGACACGCCGTTCGTGTTGTTCAAATCGAACTCTCATCAGTGTCAGCATGTACAAGGAATGCGCTGGAAGGAGGAATGGTTCCAATGGGATACCGAGGACTGGTCTTTCTCTGGAAACGAAAAAATTGGATCTGTTCCGTATGGGGAGGTCGGAAGAAATATTAAGTTGTATTATTGTTATTATTACCGGTAAACTGAATCGAGGCTACTTACTCGAGAATTGTTATTAATGAATAATAAAGATCAGCAGAAGTATGGTTATTTACTGGTGTATTAATTGGTTTAAAACCTGGCGTAGAAAAATAGTTTTTAAAGAGTTCAATGAAGCTCCGCCTTATATGACAGGTGGTTTGTAAGTATTAACGAAAAAAGCGTCACCTTGAAAGCGAAACTAGAGCGTCTCAAAAAAGGGTTTAATGTAGGATCCGACGGGGGTGGCGCCAGATAAAACAAACATGTGTTTTGTGGGCTGGTAAAACTTTGTGAAACACCCAGCTTTGGTCGTTAATAATGACATACCCTTCGTTTTGAAACTTCGGCGCTCTTTGAGAGATCCTGATAGGTCGTTGAGCTAGGTCGTTGAGCAAGGGACCACAAATACAATGGAAAATGTTCTTCTAGTTACGTAAAATAGAGTAAAAGCAGGTTTAGCAGGTACAAAATGGGCCGCAATCAAATGCATCAACCAGTTTTCAGGATTTTATGACAGATCTCTATTATTTTCCTCCTTTATTCCTCTTCAGTGTTTTGCTTTTTTATTTTTGGTTTATTATTCTGGGAACTGTAACGCAAACGACTCTCCTTACTCTGTAGATTTCTTCGCTGAATTCGTCTTAAAGCAGCGGAGGTAAAATGTTTTTCACCATACCCAACATTCACGCAATGCTCTTTAAATAAATATCGTCATCAACACAAATTGTATTCATCAATCTCTATCTGTTTCTTCATGTCCACTCCTAATCCTCACTTGGATTCTCAGAAATTACCATAACATAAAATATTAGGTAACGCAACTTTTAGTTAACCAATAATGTGTCCTGAATGATGTATTGGGGAATCCCCGACAAATGCGGTTATGAATTGCGAATTCTAGGAAAAATATGCTGTGTATATTAGCATTCTATCGCCAACGAAGCATTTTCTTTGCAGCCCCAATCGGCAACTGTTCTCACCGATACATCTTGAGTAATTTTAGAATTGAGAAGGGAACTTGTTAGCTTTGTGTAAAACAGGCAGAAGAGTATTGAATCGCAGTCATCCATCGACTGGCTCACCAGACAGGAATATTTCTGATGGATAATATATGCTTTTCTGTTGTTTAAGAAAATACGAGATCTTGAGAAGCTTCCATCAGATCTAGTCGGTATAAACGTGATAAGGAAAATCCTGGTATAACTATGGCAACAAATCTTCTAGGCACCCGAGTTGTTCGTGGTCAAGATTGGACATGGGGAAACCAAGATGGCGGAGAAGGTTCTGTAGGTACAGTAGTTCAAGTCGGAAAAGACAAGAAGTCGCCTGTGACAGCACAGCTTGTTTACGTACAGTGGGATTGTGGAGGGAAGCACGACTACAGGGCTGGAATCGAAAGGAAACACGATCTTCGAGTTTTTAGTCTCACAAATGGCGGTGAGTGACGATTTAAGTTTCTTGCTATTTATCTTAATTTAAACGGAAATACCTGCCCAGACTCATCCAAACAACTCTAGCTGAATATTATATTCCTTAAAGAGGATAAAATGCAATCTCAGCACTTTTGTTAGGCAAGCGAATGATGCAAAAATTTCAATTAAATCGATTTAAACACATTAACACGAGGTTTAGAAACCATGCGGACTGACAACTGACACGGATAAATCATTGGATTTTCAACTGGAGTTGAAGTCCGTGACAATCCTGACCAAAATGAAAACAACGATCCTTGTTTCAAATTTTTATACCTTCTCATTAAAAGCTTCCCTTGCAAAATTTTAGGTCGTCCAACTTTTCGATGGACACTATGTCTTTTATAACTACACACGGTTTTTTATACGACTTGCGATGTGTACCATTACTTCATAATATGCAGATTTTTCATTTATCAGCTTGCTCACTAAGTGAAAGTGGATATGTTACAGCGTGAATCTGTTGCATCCCAAAAAGTGCGTTCAGTTTCCCACAAACCCAGAGCTATATTTTCAAGTCAGACAGCAAGTTATTGAAAAAGTTTGTTGTAAAATGACCTCGAAAGACCTTCGTTCTGATATATTAAGTCTTCCTTGTTTTCCGAGAATTTCAACCAATTATCAACTTATTATTGATTTAGGCGGCTTAACAACCCCAGGAGAGAAAAACAAAAAATGTAAAAAGGTTTCCCTTTACATTTGATGTGTTCACAACAACACTTCCGGCTCAGTCTCAAACATTATCGGTTCATGCGCGAGTCTCTCTCTTGCCGTTAAAAAAGGTTTTGTAACATAGATCAGTAAACGTCTAGTCTGCATTCTTTGAGATGTCAATCAACGCTTCCCAAGCTCCCCTCCCCCTCCTCTGAAAAAGAAAGATGTAGGAGGTAGAGAATCCAGTGACGTTATCAAACAAACTAGGAGGGAGACTAATAAACAGCTCCATATCATAATATGCTCATGTGCAAACTCTGCAAAGCTACGGGCCAACTTGTCCTTTACACATCATGTTAGTAGAATTCATCGTACAAACTCGTGTAGCCACCAAACATCTTTTGCAATTTCTGTTAGTCGTCAGAACATATGGGGCTGTTTTTGAAAACCAGTGGAACATTTCCGACATTTTCGGAAATCTTAGTCTTTTGTTTAGCTAAGTCAGACATAGAAGGATGTGTACCAGTGGAACATTTCCGTTATTTTCGGAAATATTTTTGTTTTATTCAACGAAGTCAGACAGAGAAGGATATTGTGTATCAGGGACTAAACTGCATGTGGTGCCAAGAACAACTGTGAATCTATGAATATCATATATTGAAACCACAGATTAATAAATGAAGAAAAAAGTGATGATCGTAGTTGTGAACACTTCTTAGGCAGCAGTGAGAATAAAGACTGGGAAACATTCAAACCTGTAGGTCATGGATTCAACTCCCGCACAGAGCTAAATTTTTTCCAGCCCCTCTTTTCATTGCTGCTTAAGTAGCGATAATCGCTGCGAAGATTACTCTCATCTTCATTTGTGATGTCGAGGCATAACTCTTCACCCCTAAACGTAAGGTATCTCTCTATTTCATATTCTGGTTACCTCTTCTATTAGACGCGAAACATCTATTTACTAGCTGCGATGGTTGTAAAGAAGATCCCATCATTGGACTGCGCTGGCACTGTTTAGATTGTCCCAACTATGATCTGTGTAGCAAGTGTTACATGAACGATGTCCATGATGTCAATCATCGCTTTGAAAGATTCGACAAGAGTCGCGCCAAAGGGTAAGTTGTCAAAGAAACAGGTCAGCGGCCTGTGCGTCCACGTAAACCCATCGATGTTAAAAATGTTCCATTGTCTTAAATCAAATTTAACTTCAATATCTTTTGCCAAAGAAGTAAAACGTTATTTGCCATCAGAACTAATACGTCTTATTCAATAACATTGCATTATCTATTAAGTTTGGTTTCTTCCTCTCTTGTCGTTTTTTTCTTTTTAATGAAAATTGACTTCAAATGAAAAAGGATCAGCTTCAAGACGTCACGGTTCCTGTAGCGGTCCAGCCTCTAGACTTTAATAGGGATTTAACAATGATTCTTTTGAATAATTTTTTACTTCAATTTAACAACATTTTTGTCAGCAACTAAATACTTCTAGGTTTATTTTATTGTTCGTAGCTACATTTTATATTTGTCACTAGTGGAAGAAAACAACAGAATATCGACTGATATTCTCTTGAAGAGTATTAATGAATTATTTATTTAATTGGGTCATGCAAATTTACAGCATCCCCGTTGGCAAAAGGCAAGGCGCCACTAAGATTGAAGCCCGCGGAATGTTTAAGGGAGCAAAAGTAACCAGAGGACCAGATTGGGAATGGAAGGAACAGGATAACCAATCTCCTATGGAAGGCGAGGTTGCTGAGGTCACCAGCTGGAGTGACGAGACTAATAATGATGCTGTGCGAGTGAACTGGAACATAGGACCGAGGGGTAACATTTATAGATTGGGAACAAATGGAAAGGTGACGTGGGCTAATGAATTATTGCTTTATTATTATTGCCATCAGTAACATTATAATTATTATTATTATTATTATTATTATTATTATCATCAGTTTTACAATGATAATAATAATAATAGTTAATAGTAGCAGTAGTAGTTGTGAAATAATTTTTTTTAATCATAAACAGGGATCCAATTGATTAAAGTTGTTCCTGTTGACTTTCTCAGTACTATATCTTGAGAATAATTTCATCTTGGGCACTCCTGACCCTATTTTACATCTCGAACATCTCCTTACGCCATTTCAAGCACTCTAAAGCTTAATTCAACCACAACTTGAGACTAGGTCACTTTGAAAAACTCTTGCAGTCAAAAAAATCCCACACATTGGATACCTAGTCTACTTCTATTTCCTTCGAACTGGTAGGTTGACCTCAAGTGCACTTCGCCAGCTGTTGGAGGATATTATTACAAAGATCATTTACCACCGCTCACAATGCAGATAAGAAAATCCAAAAGTGGGTTTATGAGTGGTGACAAAGTCTACCTTCAGAAGCTTGCGATAGGAAAGCTTCAGGAGTTATCCGCTGGTCATGGGGAATGGAACGCAGACATGGAAAGGGTTCGTTTGGGACTTGCTTTCACGGACTCATAACACTATCTAAAACTTTTAAAAACATTTAGTGTCTAACCCTAATTTGAGGCCCTGAAAGTCTCAGTATTCAATTCCCAATAAGTGTACAATATTCTTAGTCTAGTGCATATCCTCTTAGATTTAAACCAATTCAGTGAAATGTCGTTGACAACTCGCACTTCAGAAACAATTCACTTATATTCACAGTATATTGGAAAAATTGGAGTCGTGCAGGATTTCACAACCAATGGTGACGTTGTTGTAGAGTATCGCGACATAAGATGGCGTTACAATCCAGCAGTTTTGTCAAAGGTAATGCTAACGCAATCATTTGTCTCGCCAAGAGCTTCTTCAAATGAGTTAACTATATTTGTGTTATGAAGTAGCCCTAATTTTTTCTTTGACTGTCATAAACATTGGCATCAGGTATGTTAGAACGAGTGGCTTGGATCTTGGATGATCAAGAAATATCCTACAGAAGTTACTTATGTCAAAATTTATATGGTTCGTTTAAAGTTAAAACGCTGACAATGTGTTAAATTTCTGACGGCACACAATAAACGCCATGTGATTACTAATAATTTAAAGCATCACCATTCGATTAACTGGCCAACAGGAATTAGTGACATGGAGTGGGACAGGAAACACTACAAGAGCTAGCTAAAGGACATTCCAGTGTCGTATCACTTTATATACATTGTATATATATATATATATATATATAATTTTTCTTTACCCAGATTCAAAAATTTAAGCAAGGCGATGAAGTCGTAGTTAAAAGTGATGAGAACTTGGTCAAAGAGCTCCAAAAAGAACATGGAGGATGGAACGAGTCTATGATATCAGTAAGTTTTATTTTTTTTTTAAATTTTCTTCTTCGCAAACTCCTGTGTGCATGTGCGGAAGGTAAAAAAGTAAACAATACACGCCACTAATCTGGAGCCAATTATATATGTATTTCAAAAAGCTATTGGAGAATAAACAGTTTTAAACAAGATAATATCTTACCTTATTCCATTTGTAGATCCTTGGTCGTACTGGAAAGGTGTTGGAAGTTGATAGTGATGGTGATATTTTAGTGTCAGTAGAAGGCACCAGATGGATGTTGAGCCCAGCTGCTGTGACTTCTGTCACTGACCCAGACCTCCAGCAGTCAACAGAGGCTTGTGACATGGGCAGCGAAGATCCCTTAGGTACAGAGTTAGGGTACAATCGTATTGAGAGCGTTAGTAAAAATGGCCAATCTAGAAGAGTAAAACCTTTGAAGCGCATGAAAATGTCAGTGACTAGGACGTGAGTGATTTGAACTATGCATCTGATTGGCTAAGATGAAAGCACGAGTTTTCTCGACCATTCCCAAAGCGAGATAAACAATTCAATGTCATCTATGTCACTCAATCGAAAACTGCCCTGAGAAACAAGAAAACAAAAATTTCTTTAAAGCACAGATCATAAGTGTAGTTTTCTTCACCACTACTGTTGTATGTTTTTCTCCAGGGCTTTTCAGTCTCTTTAGAGACTTACTACGTCAAGCTCATGAACAGGAGGCTCACGGCCTTGTGAATGCTGCGCAAAGCAACAACCTCTCAAGACTCATTGAGATCTTGGATGCTAACCCAGAACGGGTACCTTTTTTCTTTCATTCTTTACTTTTGCAGATGGCATTTGCAAGTCTGAAAAACTTCTGAAATCAAGGCAATACGATAAATACAAACATAAGATGAGAACTGTGTAATTTAGGTTTTAGTAAACAAAGATACCGAAAACGATAAAATTTATCAATGTAATATCAGTTCACGATTAAGAATCAAATTTGATTTTGGTAGCGTTTTAGAAATTTGAAATGATCAAGGCTTTGTATCTTTTTGTTCTACACAGATTGACGAGCTGGAGGGTGGTCACACTGCTCTTCATGTTGCATGTCACCAGGGGCATTGTGAAATCATCAGAGAATTGGTTGAGAGAGGAGCCAACATGGACATACTGGTGGGTAATAATTTTTTTAATTTTTGTCTTATCATTACTGGTATTTTTTGCTCCGTTTAAATTACTGTAACTGCTAGTGCTACACGAGGAGGAAAACCATCAACCAACCAACCATCGTCGTTGTCGTCGCATAATCGACAAGCTTAAATCATTATTTTGACATACTAAGTGTTCAGGAGAGGAACCTACTTATTCATACACTTTTATGTACTTAAAATACAGGATAATCAGGGATACACAGCCATGCATCACTCTACTTACCAGTAAGTTGAGTAATTTTAAGTAAGCTGGTCAAACTTATAATTCGATTCAGAGCTTTTGTTTTGCTTTCCTTCGCCAAGCGATTGTTTTCGCAAACTTGAGCTATCCTCTCAGTCAATTGAATAATAAAAAAAAACCAAGAACTAAAACCAAACTTGAGCTATCCTCTCAGTCAATTGAATAATAATAAAAAACCAAGAACTAAAACCACTGAATAACTTTTGGTATACTTGAATTCGACAGCATGTGATTGTTCTTCGTGTTCATTCATCCGCTAAGTTATTTTTGCATGTCTAGACTTGCTTAGCTTTTTTTTTATGACTCTTGCAGGAGCCAATGCAAAACATCTGCATGTTATTGTTCATATATTTCTTCCTTTATGACAGTCACGTGAATATTCCTAAGAAAGCAGCATAAGTAACCTCTTAAGTTAAAGTGAAATGCAAAAATGCCCAATGTTTTGTTGAACTTATATCCTCGTGATCATTCAGAGACGAAAGCGGTGAAGCATTGAAACTGTTACTGGAGAAAGGCTTTGACCCAAACGTTCAACACAGAAGTAATAAGAGCACACCCTTACATTTGGCTGTGAAAAGGAAA